CGCACATGGAGCTCCGTGCTGACAGCACAGAGCCTGCTTGGGATTCTCTCTCTCCTGCTCTCTCTGCCCATCCCCAATTTGTGCTGTCTCTCTCTCTCACACACAATAAATAAACACATTTTTAAAAAATTTATAAAAGCCCAGTGGAAATCTCTACATCCTGTGATGAGGTTGCCATATTTGGTTACCTATTGACTCTACTGAGGAGGTCCTATGCATCCCCTGGCTCTAAGGATGGTCCTGGTCAGGGAAGACTCTCGTTCTGTATCAGTTTGGCCACCAGACAGGCCTGTCTTCATACTTGCTGCCTGAACACGCTACCCGATTTCTATTTCCTGTAATCCAGCCCCCTTGTGCTCTGTGCCAAGGTCTTGTGCCCCCTTGAGTCTGGATTTCTGTTCCTTCCTACTTTGCTGTACAGCGTTTCCACATGAGCTGAAAATACTTATATTCCCTTGTCAATATGAACTTTGTATTGTTTTTCAGATGATCAGCATCAGGTTCCGTGATCTAAGAGATCTGCTCCTGACATTTTCTGGCTGCTCCATCTCGCCTTTCTAAGCCTTATCCCCAACCCAAGGCTGGCAGTGATACTCCATGTTTAACTTTACTGATATTTGCAAACCAATTTTGGGGTTTGTAATAGAAACGCTCTTTCTACTCTGACCACAAAAGAGGAAAGGATTTTATTACTGTCATTTTTTTAAAGGTTGCCTGGGCAAAGTGAATTTTAAAATCAACTTTTAGTATTTTAAGATTATATTGACTTTTGCTGCCACTAGGGATCATTGATCCCACTGTACTATTCCCGGCATGTTATTTGTCCATAAAATTAAGAGAGAAGAGGCCTCTGGTTTCTGACAAAAAAAGGAGAACAGCAGATGGAAGAGTCCCCAACTTTTAAATGCAGCATCTCAAAACTCTGAACTACTTGCCCCTGGAAGGGAATCGGGCAGATTTGCGCAAAGTGGTCGCAGGACTTTTCTTCTTCACCTGACAGTCCAACTATAGTCATTGATCATATAACATAGTTTTAAAAACAGTTCCACTTTATTGTTATTATTGTTACTAATATTATTATTATTATTTTACCTTTGAATAGATCATAGCCCAGACATGAAAACATTATAGGCTTTAGAATCAGACAAACCATGGTTCCTCTTTTGATTTATGAGTCACACTGTCTGGATTCTTTAACCTTTCTAAAACTCCATTTCTTTGTCTGAAAATGGAGATCATGAAACAACTTCACCTGTTAGTCATGGGAGATTCAGCAAGATGACATTTTAATCTTTTGTCACAAGCACTGGGTGTACTGTTGTTATGTACATACAAAAACATACAAAGGAGTCACATCATGCATATTCCCATATGTCCAGATACACCTGTCTGAGAACTCACCATGGCAGCTACCATGTACATTCACTACTATGTACCAGTTGCTGTTCTAAGCACATTGCATATATCAGCTCGTGGAAATACAACTCTGAGGTAGATACACTTAGTATCTTAACTTGATAGGTTATAGAAATGTAGAAAAGTAAAGTTCAGGAAGTGGTTACAGGGGTGCCTGGGTGGCTCAGCCGGTTAATTAACCGACTTCAGCTCAGGTCATGATCTCACGGCTTGTGGGTTCGAGCCCCGTGTCGGGTTCTATGCTGAAAGCTCAGAGCCTGGAGCCTGCTTCCGATTCTGTGTCTCCCTCTCTCTCTGACCCTCCCCTGCTCACGCTGTGTGTCTCTCTCTCAGAAATAAATAAAACACTAAAAAAAACAAAAACAAAAAAACAAAACAGTGGTTACAGGTGTAAAGCAGGACTCTAAGAAGTGCGTTAAGACAGCACAGGGATACTGCGCCCTTGCCTAAGTGGAATGTGGAGTACAAAGGGCTCACTCACCCTCCTTGTTTCTCCTTTATTTCTAAGTAACGGATTTGCCAGAGATAAATACAGAAAACAAGGCAAACCCCTCATTATTCAATGTCATTATCACCATCATCACCACCACTACCACCACCATCCTCATCATCTATATCATCTATGTGCCAATGATTTAAAAAGTTAGAGTTACTGGCTCTTTGTTCATCCCCTACACCCTTTAAAACCTGATGAGCATAATATTATATTGTGAAATTATTTATACCAACTTTTTACTAAATATTTGCTTTCCTAAGAATAAAAGGATCAAAATTATAACCCATGCTTCCTTCAATTTACCTAGCTTTTAGTTAGTATTCACATACCTGGTACATCTTGGCAGCCAAGCACTGTAAAGGCTTTAATTTTCTCAATGCTGGAAATATGCACAGTAAAATCTATAGCTTCCTCCTACACTTACTTCTCATGATGGCCTAATTTAGCTGAATTCTGTTCCTGGAATTAGATTCTGTCACTGTACCATCTTCCCTAATGATAGGAAAGCATGGAATAATAACATGATCAAGAAAAGGACAACCATCAATTTGGAAAGTGGAGTCTTACTGGGCAATAGCAGGTTTTAAAAGCCCCCTGTGGGGCACTCTCTAGGTTTTTCTTGGTATTCAGCTTTACCTGGTTTCCTTTCATATTTCTAACATAAAAGTGAGCTCCACCATATGTTTCTTCATGGTATCATTATTCCACAAAAATTCTACATGTACTTTTGTGCAGCAAAATGTCTTCCTAATTTTATGAAATCAGCAGGTGTATGGTCTGTTAACAACTCTACCACCTTTGCAACTTTTTTCAATAGTAATTAAAAATTTAGCAGCTAGCTCATGGTATAAGACCACACTGTGTAAATTTTCTTGAAAATAATAAGCTGGTCTGCTCATGATGATTAGAAATCTCAAATTAGGCATGTAAGAGGATTTCTAATTTGTATTCCTCCTAAAGCATGTCTCACAATGTATGTGGTTTTATCTTATACACAGCTAATATTCTTTCTTTATTTCGTCTTTTCCTCTGCCTGGCCATGCCATCATCACTCTGGGTTCAGCACATAATGTGTTTCCTTGTCTGAACCCTAAATTCAACCCCTATAAACCTGAGTAAACATTAAAGCTGCCCTAGACACGTATTCAAGATACATACACATAATGTTGTCAGACATGTTAAAAACATCAGGCCTTAAAATTTTATTGCTTTGTAATTCACTGCTAAAATTTTCTAACAAGGTCAGTTTAAGAGTACTTGTGATGTTTTGTTTCTACCTCTCTTTCTCTCTGATAGATATAGAGCTGGAACTAGATATAAACACAGACACACACACACACACACACACACACACACAAGATGGAAAGCCCAGTCTTGAGTATCATGGAAGCAGTAGATCCATTTTGTAAATTAAAGCTTGCTGATAATTATCTATCATTGTATAGAACTGTTTTTTATTATGGTTTTAAAAAATATAGAAAAATTCAAGGATCACACAAGATATTCCCATATTTTTTCTGTAAGGTATCCTAGCTTATTTCAAGGAAAAGAAAACCTGATGTCATGAAATCTGTATTTTTAAACCTTCAGATTGTTGTGGTTCCCTCAGAAGATATCACATTCCTTCTTTTCTCAAAACCTTGATACTTAGATTTAAATCAGGGGCTCCCTTGCTTTTCCAAAGGAGAATCTCTGTATTTATCATTTATCTGTATTTCATTTAGCTGTAAGAGCGTAGGGCCAAAATAACATGACTACTTGGGTTGGAGAAAGCTAACATGGCAAATCAGGGGTTCACAGAGGAAGGAGACAAGTCGTTGCTAAGATTAGTGCAGGAGAGCCGGCAGCCTGGAGAAAGGCATGTGCTGGCAAATTCAGGCCAATCTGTTCTACCTTTTGGAAATTACCGAGTGTAACAGTGACAACTCATTGTAGTGTCTCTCTGGCTTAGGATCAGACATTTAGCTACCTCTACCATAAATTACGTAACAATAAATTATAAGGAAGTTGAAGACAATTTATAAGAACCCCTTTTGTACACGGCAAAATTCTGCACATATACCAAACACCGCAAGTTCACCCCTCCAAAGAGACTCACTAACATATTTAGCACCAGCCACACATTATACATAATGGCACTAAAGAACACCTTTCTCTAAATGAGAGACACCTTAATGAAAACACCCTCTGGGATAATAATATAAAACTACAATGTTTCTTTCCAAGGCTTCTTATGTGCAGATCATACTATGAAAAGAAGTAGCAGTCAAGATGGATTAGTAAAGAAGAAAATAAAAACCTACAGTTCACTACTGTTAATTATACTAAAGTACTTTCTGTCCTTTATATAAAAAAGCCATGTACCCTGGCATTGTGTAACCCACGTGAAATTCTACGTAAAGTTACAGAGTTATTCATTAGGTAGATATGAGGCTGAATTGCTCAAGATAGTGCTATGTTTTTAATAAGAAATTAATAAGGAGTTCGCCAAATCAGACCCCCCAAAAATGGTGACTGGTACCTATTTTCAAACCTCTTCCATTATTTAGCTTGGAAGATTAAGATGCTTCCACTAAAAACCACTTGTCATTTGGTAATAGCTCGAATATTTATAAGTATCCCTTTAGAATTAGACGGTTGCTTGACAATGCAGGGCAAAATACTGATTAATCATCATGTAACTGATAATGCAATGCATACTTTAACATAACTTACTTCTTATTAACTGTCAAAATACAATTCTTAGTTTATATTAGAATCCTGTTCTCTAAGAAAGACTAATTATGATGTTGTGAAAAGTTGCCTAGAATTCATCAAGTTAATTCTGTAATAATAGGGAATGTAGAGAACTAGATCTACGGTTTTCCTTACTAAGCAATATTATGATTCAGTTACCTATAGTAAGTCAATACTACGAATTGATTCATAATGGAAGTTCACTCATTAAACAGAAATGCCTGTAATTGGTATAAAATTTCTCAGTTAAAGAGATTTCCATCATTTACTATCAAGTAAGTAGCGAAAGAAAGTTGTACCCATTCAATTTACTATTAAAAAGTGTTTGTGTCCAAGCAAGTAAACCCATTACCTTATAAATATCCAAAAAGCCACACTGGTGATCAAATCTGGTGTATAGTTCGTTCAGCATGCTGATCACCTGCATGGGGGTGCACTGGGCACAGATGGCCGTGAAGCCGACGATGTCTGAAAAGAGCATGGTGACGTCATCGAACTTCCTGGCCTGTACCTGCTGCCCTTGCCACAGCTGCTGGGCGACATCACCGGGGAAGATCGAGTACAGAAGATCCACGGTTTTCTTTTTCTCTTCTTCCAGGGCCTGGTGAGTTCTTTCCAAGGTCGCCTTTAGTTTGTCCATCCTCTTCTTCAAGCCGTCTTGGGCCTTGGCCTGCTCGCCCACCAGAATGACATCTCGGGTAGCATCGTGGATAGGGATGTCTGAGAGATGCAGACCCCGGCCCATGAGCTCATCCAGCTTGTCCACACACGGAGAGCCCAAGAACAGGATGGAATTTGATTCTGGGACGTGGATCATCTGTCCTTTGACTTCCATCACCTGCAAAATTAACATGAAAGTGTCATCGGTGCTCTCCGTACAAGTGGGTTCACAAAAAAGTGTATTTATTACGCTGAGGAAGAGGAGGTATACGAAATGCACTAGTAGCTATGCTGAATTTCTTCATTCATACAAGCATGTTTAAGAATGGTTTGCGGCCGGTATAAAAATACATGGTTCTGAACAGAAGCCTTTATTATCTCCCACACTGCCACTCTCCAAAGACAACAGTGAGATGAAGAGTGAGATCAATGAGAAATGAAGCAGGAAAACATTTTTTTATTCAAAATGAAATTACACTCAGGCACATCACGAAACCGGCTCATGAGTCAGTTCAAAGCCTTTCAACCTGCTTAATAATAAAATTAAGATAAATCCATCTGTCAAAATAACTACATTCAATTGTCATTAAAATATGACTCAGAAAAAAGTCCAGAAGATTAAAATAAATCAAAATAATTGTTTAGCTTTACATAAGTCATTTTCAAATAGTTTGTAGACCTTTGAATAGGTGGTAGTTCTTACAGTGACTGGATTAGGGAATAACCTACTTGATCTTAAAAATAAAAATTTAGGCGCACCTGGGTGACTCAGTCGGTTAAGCCTATAACTCTTTATTTCAGCTCAGGACGTCATCTCACAGTGCTGAGATCAAGCCCAGCATAGGGCTCTGCACTGACAGCACTGAGCCTGCTTGGGGTTCTCTCTCTCTCTCTCTCTCTCTCTCTCTCTCTGCCCTTCCCTGCTTGGGTGCACACATGCTCTCTCTCTCTCTCTCTCTCTCAAAATAAATAAACAAACAGTTTTTAATGAAAACTTAAACTAGATATGATTAAGTCAGTATTACTAGGAAATTGAACTAGCATGTTCAATACAGGCTTAAAAAAAACCCCAACAAGTCAGAATAGGGCTAAAGGAGTGCATCTAACAAGATAAAGGATCTCAAGACGTCATACTTTAAATCCATCCCTCCTTTCTGTGCTCTTGGACTGGAGAAGCTGGGGGAACAGACATTTGATACTTCCCATCAGTGAACACATGTTTATGCTATCTCAGCCCAGTGCCCCACAGAACACTGTGAGGAAAGGAGCAGCGGTTTGGAAGGGAGTAGACGTGGGAGGTGGCAATGCGAGTATAGTGATTTGGGTGAGAATAAGGTATCTGATCACATCTGGAGAGGAAAGTGGCTGTAATGGCCTGGAAAGAACAGCACAGAAGTCGGCCAGCTGACATCACACATCCTTGTAATCTGTGTCACCTTCCACGGCCCCAGGCAATGTGCTCAGTAAATGTATCTTCCTTTACTCTTCGTAGCATGAAGTGGTTAGGCTGGTGGGTGACACTAGAGGCACACAAGAGATATGCGGTAGGCCTGCAGCTGGGTCTTACTCGGATTCCCCTGAGCCATCCATCAGGATGTAGTACGGGGAAGGAGATACAATGGAGTCCTCACTTGATGCTGGACTTTTTATGAAATGACATGGTTTTTTCTATCTTGTGTAGTTTCTGCTAGTGTTCAGTATTTCATCCTTTTATACATAATATTCTCATTTACCCAATGAAGTATTTATTGTTTTCTATTTACTCGAACTGCTTTGGGTGATAAGCATAAAAGGGTAAAAGAAGATCCCTCCTCTAGGGGTGCCTGGGTGGCTCAGTTAAGTGTCCGACTTCAGCTCAGGTCATGATCTCACAGTTTGTGGGTTCGAGCCCCGCATCGGGCTCTGTGCTGACAGCTCAGAGCCTGGAGCCTGCTTCAGATTCTGTATCTCCCTCTCTCTCTGACCCTCCCCTGTGCTCTCTCTCTCTCTCTCTGTCTCAGAAATAAATAAAACATTTTAAAAAAGAAGAAGATTCCCCTTCCAGTATGGTGGAGGGGGCCGGAGAACAGCACGAAGAAGACACTTCTAGTTCCCACACCCAAGGTGGGCTCTCAAAAGACTGCAGACTATGGTTTGAGTACAGAGAAAATAATTGTCCTGAGAAGTATTTCCAGCTTGTTTTATACTTGTTTAATATGGTTTCTTGGGGGAGGGGTGTAGTTAATGATATATACTTTTCCAGTGTTGGGACAGTAAAGGTGTAATAAGTAAGATGCACAAAATGTACATAATGATAGTTTAAATATTAGTATATTAAATGTATTCTTAAGATTTCAAGTAAAAGTAAACCTCTGATGCTCACAGATTTAGACTTCTATCTGCTCTCTCTCTCCTCTCACTTATCTAATTATTTTCTTTTTCTTCTCCATCTTGCTTTCTTCTTCCTTTTTCCCTATGTTCTTTGAACTTCTACTTTCCACATCACCTCTTCACTTGGTCTCCCTCGCTCATTTGTACTATTCCCTCCTTAGTTCCCTCAATGGGTCTTTCTTTTTCTCTTTCTCTTTTCTTCCGAAGCATCAATCACCACATTTGCCATCACAAATGACCCTCTTCGTTTTCTTCTTTGTCTCCCTCTATTTTAAAAGCAGAATCAGTGTATGTGCATACACACAAATAATATTATGTATTATTTGTTATATGTAATAAATAATAGTGATTTTGTTTAACCCACAAAGAGGCTGAATCAGATATCTTAGGTTCCTATCATAAAAATATAAAACATAAATATGTTCTTGGTCTACATGCAGCCATTAGTTGATTTTTTGAAATCTCTGAATCAGCAGAGCCTGAGAGAAGAGAAATTAATTGCTCGTCTCCTGCCCTACGGAATAACGACTCATAAAAGAAACCCCAACATTGGCAATGAGTAACTTCCTTTTAATATTTTTAATCAGAGAATTTTTCCCTTAGTTAATAAATGGGCAAAGGCAATGGGAGCATTTGTGTCTCTATCATAAATGTATCCTTATTTTAATTGGTAAGTAACATAAATTATTCCCCCTGAATTGTTTTTGTTTCATTATAATTATAAATTCAGAAAGTCACCATGCTCCTCATTTGTTCATTTAGAAATGTGTAAAACTATTATAGAAACTATATATTCTTAGGCAGAGAAAGCAGATTTGTGGAAAACTGCATAAAATGCAAACATCTAACTTTTTACTGCATCTTAAATTATAGGAAAGTTTAGTTTTAAAATTTTTTTAATGTTTATTTATTTTTGAGAGAGAGACACACACAGAGCGTAGAGCAGGGGATGGGCAGAGAGTGAGGCAGACACAGAATTCAAAGCAGCTGCAAGCAATAAGCTGTCAGCAGAGAGCCCAATGCGGGGCTCAAACTCACAAACCGTGAAATCATGACCTGAGCCGAAGTTGGACACTTAACTGACTGAGCCACCCAGGTTCCCTCAAAGTATACTAAAGTTTAAATGAAAGAGAATGAGGTGCAAGAAAAATAAACTTTTTAAATTTATCAGATTTCAGAAATTGGTCAGCATAATAAAAAGGAGTATTTGATGGGGCAAAAGCATTAAAAATCATCCTTTTAGAAATCTTGGTGGTCAGGTTCTGTTAAACTACCTGTGTCATTTTTATTTGAATGCACAGATATCTCAATAAGAATACTTACCACTCTATTCAGTAATTAATTGAAAACTGAGCAGCTCATATAACTGTACAGTCCACATTTTGTATTTCTGCATATCCTGAACATGGACTAACCCATGCTCTCTAGGAGACTCAAGTCTCATAAGATAATCATTGGTAGCAGGCGTATAGCATGGTTAGGAAAGAAGGATTTGGAAAAAGTCAGACCTGGATTTGAATTCCAGTTCTTCTGACATTTAAGTGGGCAAATGTAAGTTATTTATACTTTCAAAGCTTTGGTTACTTTATCTCTAAAATAGACATGAAATGATAATGATGTTCATGAGGAAGAGCCTGTAGCTAACTCAACACATCTGCTGAGCACCTGCCATCAGGTAGGTACTGTGCTGAATACTTAACATACATGTCATTATTAAATTTTACTGGACCCTATTACTGTCCTAATTTTTCAGAGATTTAGGGAGGTAAGAGACGTTCTAAGAATGCACAGGCTAATAAACAGTAGAGTCAGCATTTAAACCCAAGTTGGGTTGACTCCAGAGGACATGCTCTTAGCCACTGAAGAAGCATGATGGGTAAGGGTGCTGGGTGCAGCCAGAAAGGACAATAACAATTCTACACGTAAACCGATGTGATGGCAAAATTACCTTATTGAGATAGTCACCAGAGGCACGAGAAAAGATAGAAGTTGTTGCTCCAGGTTGATGAAATAGCTACTTGCATGTCTATCCACTGAAATCAGGGTAGTAAAAACATCACTTCTATCTGTGATTTCAGATATTTCAGATCTTTAGGATATAACTTATGAATGCACAGACAAATGATATGTGCCTGGTGTCCACAGGGGTCTTCGTTCTCACAGCATAAAGTTCACTTTCAAGAATTAGATCCAGAAGGAAAAAACAAAAGTAAGAGGCAAATAGCCTCTTGGAGATTCTCCCTCTCTCAAGCTCCCTCCTGGGGCATCGCATGGCTGGAGCCACCAGCAAGAAGGATCTTGCCACAATGGCCCAGTCAGGAAGTATTCATTTCCCACACGAATAAAAACACCTCTTCTGCATAAAGACACCAGGACACCTCGTCTCTGGGAGCTGGTTCTTCTCCCTCCAGCAGCAGTAACAGGTCCAGTGGGAACTCTGGGAGCATAAAATAAACTCAACAGATGAAAATAGCACTATGTGAGCTCTGAAAATTTCACTCTCATTGCAACTACTATCTACAAAAGTAGGCCACGGCCTGCATGCCAAACCTAAACAAACTGCTTGTTAAAATTAAAAAAAATTTTTTTTTAATAGGATCTGGTGTCTTCTAACATAATAGGCAAGCTATCCAGGACATAAACAGAAGCCAAGCATCCTAATAAGAATGAGGAAAATCACATTTTGAATGACAAAAGGCCATCAATTGATGCCAACACTGAAATGAATCAGATATTGGAATGATCTGTCAAGAATTTTAAAGAACTCATTGTAAAATGTTTCAACAAGCAATTATAAATTCTTTTGAA